TTTGCATGCTCAGAAGTGACCGACGTATAAAATATCGTCTTAAAATTAACTGTTACAGTTATTGCGTAAATTGTGTCTAGAATATTATTGAATGTTACATTATCAACATTACATGTAAGTACTGCATATTGTAGTATTTAAAAGAACTGTTACATTCAATTCTACCATATTTGTTTAATTCTATTACCAGAGAAAGTTTCCATTTTAAAATTTTTATAAGAATATCGAAAATTAAATAAATATTTAATGTATAATATATTTTAGACTTCGATGAATTTTGCCATTTTGCCACATTCAAATCACGTACTATACAACGTAAACCATTAACTTGAAAAATTCATGGAAGTCTAAAATATATTATAGGTACATTAAATATTTATTTTACTTTATATATTCTCATAAAAATTGAAAAAGACAACTTTCTCTAGTAATATAATTAATTAAACTAAATTAGGTTGAATTGAATGTATAGTCTTTCCAATGTCAACTGAAGAACCAACAGATTAATAGTATGTACCGGGTTCGGTCGCTGACGCAGCAACTCGGTATTGAAATATTTGAAAAACTTGTTCCCATATTTATTTAGCCATACCCATATACAGGTCTGGTCGAACAAAACGTGGAGGTGATAGAAATGTATACGCTCAGTTGACGAATGCGCGGGCAAAGGAAAACGATCACAGTTGCATTAGGCTACTGGGCAATAAATCACAGCAGATGACAAGTGTTTCATAAATTGCCCAGCAGTGCAGTGCAGCAATGCGGAATTTGGTGCGATTCAGGTAATTTTAATTTATTATAGGCGCCTTCTATCAATCATTCATATTACAATTGCGAAAGGGAGTGATAAGAGGGATATTTTGTTTACTAATATTATCATAACATGGCATTTTGGAGACCTTTTCAAACGGAACGAAACGAAATTTACCACCAATATAATAAAACTGTTTGAGGGCATAAATAATAATTAAAATATGTCGTTGGCCAAATGAACATATAATACAAATTTTCTACACATTATATACAAATCATTATAATTTTTTACCTTTAGCAGAAATTTTTTTTAGGGACGCCTATGAAACTCATTAAAATTTATTACCAGACGTTTTTTGCATGTTCAACTGATTTCGGAAAGACTATAACAGTTCTTTTAAATACTATAAAATGCAATACTTAATGTAATGTTGACATTGTAATATTCAATAATATTCTAGACACAATTTAGGCAACAACAGTTAATTTTAAGACAATATTTTATACGTCGACCTCTTCTGAGCACGCAAATAAAGCCGATTTTCAAAAAAGCATATCGGTAGCTGCCTTCTAAATGCCACAATCCATTTGTTAAGTAAGAATTTGGCGAAGATGAGCGCAGCAAGGGCATTATGACGTCACAGCGCTCCCTTCTCCTGACTACCGCTCAGCCGCGCGGGTCGCTGCGCGGATCACGCTGCCTTTAACGAACGTTTACTTGATCATTTCTGGGTCGAATCGTTTAAAAAAAAACTCAGCGTATAAAGGAAGTCTTCTACTTTACAACGAGCTTACAAGTGTATTACACAATATTAAATAGAACAGCCAGAATATCGTTTTTACGAAAAAAAAAATTATCTCCGCTCCTATTGTTTGGATCGAGACGCTTTTTTTAAGAGATTTATGTTTTTTAAGCACTCTTTCATGCAATTGGTTTGAAATCTGTATATTAAAAAATCGCCGAGAAAAGGATCCTAGTTACCGTTTTTTTAAGGTTTTGTTAATAACTTTTTTATTTTGCAACTTAAAAATCTGACATTTGCACAGACGTGATATAATGTAATTACCTTTCGATTCTTTTTTGCCGAATTTCGATATCTTGACTTGGGCAGAAGATATACCCGCTCCCGTTTTCGAATATATAATTTTGCAATACACCGCCGTTTTGAAATTGGGGGTCTGGATTCCAGGTATTTGTTGAACACCGCAACAGTTATTTTTTCCTGTAGGTTCATCCAACTTCAGTCAAATTAGCTCTTCTTATTTAATTCTTATTATTTCTTATTAAATTTAGCAGATTTTTCTTTTCGCCGCTAATTTTGCAATATAAAAAAAATTTTGTGAGCTTTTGCAAAAGCCTACCCTTGTAGCAAATTTCCTCAGGAACAAAATCAATAAGCATACTTCATGTCGATTAGAGGCTTATTTTCGGAGATATAAGCGAAAAACTGAAAAAAAGCAATTATTTTATTTTCTTTTATTATAAACAATATGACGCTCGACCTCTACAAATACACAAATTTAGGCTTTTATTCTATGTATTTTTTACTTAATTTTAAACCCATAAAAATCGTGGTAGGCCCGATTTTTGAAAAAACTAGGCTTATTTTATTCATTATTCAATTCCTCAAAAGTTTACTATCTTTAAAATTAAGAAATAAAAGGTTGTCATTCTGTGAACAATTGTTTATACAAATTTTTACTTTTTTTATGAACAAGTATTTGTAGAATTGGCTTTACTAGTCAATTTTTCAGAGAACTACAGGGTGTCCCGAAATTAGGGGCAACATTTCTACAGGGCGTTCTATGTCGAGAAATAATACTTTTTCTTTATATAAATGTGGGCCCAAAAATTCTTCCTAAGGAAGTTATAGCCGATTAAAGGGGACAATCTGATGATGGTTTTTTCTAAATAACTCCGAAACCAGTAGAGATAAATTTATAAAATTTGGTAATTAGCTTAACTCTTACGTGTTCAGTCCGCTACTGAAACGAAATTTACAAATTTTCATCACATACGTTCCAACACTGGGGGGGAGGGGGGTAAAATTTACCATAACTTTTTTATGCGTTGACTTTTTTGACTTTTGACTGAAAAGTATGAAATTTCAGTTTTTTAGTAAAAAAAGGTACTCTTGTTTCATATTGGTAGAATGTTCCATTTTTGTATAAAATCCATTAAATACAGGCAATACAGCGCACAAATTTTCAAAATAGATTTGCAATAAATTTGTGAACAGGAATTTTAGGGGACCTAGCTACTTGGACCAATCCAGTTTCCCGTTTGTCTGAATACAGAAGGATACTTAAACTTTCNATAAAAATATACAACTTTTTTCGAATATTTATTTACAATAAACGATTTCACGAGTTTTTCAATTTAAAGAGCTTTAATAAATAAATATTCACATTTAAATACTTATATACATAACATAAAATTGAACTGCATCAACGTTTGCTGCAGACAAAGTACATTGCAAATATTTAGGTACACGCTCATCTTCAGGTCCCAACAGAATTATATCCGACTGATTTCGGCTGGGAAGAGAAGTGGGATAAAATTTTCAAATGGTTGGAGTGAACAGCTGCCCTCTTCCCTTGGAGATATAATTATCGAGGATGAGCAAAAAAATAGTGCAGGTTACAATTATACTATATTTCGCTCTATAGGTACTAAAATTTCATTATTTAAGTGTAAATTTTTCATTATTTCATTTGCATACGTAAAATACAATATTTAAAAAAATTCGTACTATATGTAATTATTTTTTATAATTAACGTTTTATTGATAAATAATTATTATAATTATTATTATTATTATACAGGGTGTTTGTAAATAAGTGCGAAATATTTTGGGGGTGGTTGCCGAAGTTATTTTGTGAAAAAGGTTCATATAAATGTAGTTAGAAATATGCTTCGTTTCCGAGATACAGAGTGTTTAAATTTAAATTTTTTATTAATTGTTTCTTAACTTTTAAAGATATTGACTCGAAATTTGTAAAACACTTTGGAGGGATAAATGTGTAAATTTTGGGATGATCCGAATATGCACTACTTGCACCAGTGGCGTTCGTGTGAGAATGTCGCAGCCTTTTTTAATAAACAAAAATGATACGCCACTGACTTTTCCCGTTTTGATATTTTTTCAGAAATCCGCCATCAATTCTGAATGAAATTAGTCCCTTCAATTTTTTTCGTAGGATGTATCGTTTTGAGGAAAAAACAAAACAATATTTTATTACAAGTTTTTAATTTCTACTGATACATTATCTAGTAGGTTGCTGACAATATTTCTAAATAAAATGCAACCATCAAATTTTGAGTCAATATATTTAAAATTATTTGAAATAATTAATAAAAATGGTTAAAAAATTAAAGTTTAAGCACTGTATCTCGAAACCGAAGGATATTTCGACCTACGCTTATATGATTTTTTTTTTCAAAAAATAAGTTCGGCAACCCCCCCATAAAATATTTCGCACTTATTTACAAACAGCGTGTGATGAGGAAGAAATGGCAGGAATCGACATTGACTCCAGCGACCACGAGTTTGAGGGTGATGAATCAGAAAATGAAATAGATAATAGATTTTTTCACACATTTATTGTAAAACTTAAAAAATAAAAAAATAATACATATCTCATATCGCACAAGCTGAAATTTGGTAATACAATAGCTAACTTAGTAAGTTAAATGAAAAAAATGCTCAGCTTTATATTTAGTGAAGGAAAAGTGCTCAGCTTATAAAGTCAAAGATGTACGCCACCTTCAACTCGTCAGCTGAGCACTTATACACCGCAAAAACTTCAGCGGACAATTTTTTTCGTATAACTGATTAAGATGACTATTACTTTACCAAATTTCAGCTTTTGCGGTATCAGTTTACCTAGCGCATATTTTTGACTTATTTAGATGAAAAGCTGAGGCATAATCCCCCACTCTAAAGTTAGCTGATTGCGTTTTTTCGTTTGTTTATAACATAATCAACATGTCGACAAAGTCTCAGCTTTTGCAGTATTAGTTTTTTCTAATGACTATTTTTCGTGTTTGGGACACTGCCGCAACTATACCCCCTGGAAGTCGCGAGCTGGAAGTCGATTCTCTTACTAGTGACACCAAATGAAGCGTACGAAAACTTTTCAGCTTTTGCTCTTTTGGTCATCAAAAAAGGTCGCTGGCTCCCGGGTTATTATTAAAAAATATTGTAATTGCCCATATGGAATGGCCAGAGACCTAGTCAATCATTTTATAAAGATCCCATGTGGTTGTACCTTAAAACAAAAAAAATCCAGAATGAAGCAACTTTTTCCCCGTTTTTCAGTCTAGTTACTGAATGAATTAAATCAAGATAAGTACATACAGATTCAGAATTACTAGCAAGTTCCTTCATATCCTGTTCTAGCTGTATAATTAATTGCTTGTTGTTCTCAATATTATTTTCCATATTTTTAATACGTTCTTGTACAGATTCTAATTCGTTTTTAGCATTGGCTACAGTTTGCTTTGATTGAATAAATTGCCAAACTTCATATAATCCAAGCATGTGTTCTAATTCTCTGTTGACACGTTGATATTCCAAATATTCTGCTCTTTCCTCACGCAATTTTTCCAATTTTGGGGATATTTCTTCTGTAAATATCTACAAATAAATCATTAAAACATACCAAAAATAATTTTACAAATTTACCGTGTGAAATTCTAAAAGTTTGGCATCTTTTTTATCAATTGTTTTTTGTGCTGCTTGTCTTTTTACTTCATACATCCTTGTACCAGCTGCTTCTTCCACCATAGCTAGTATCTTTAAAAAAAAATGGTCTATTAAATAATTACATTTTCCTAAATAAGAAGCAATAGATGGCCTTTAAGTAATGATATTGGAAACAACTACTCTGTGAATTAAAGGACACTGTGTGCCAGTATAGTCCACGGGCCCACGTACAAAGAAAAAAATGATTACCAGCAAGCTGTAACTTTGCATGCAGCTTAAGTTTGACGAGTCTCCCAAAATTTGACCACGAGGAAAATTCAACAGTGGTAAGTTTTCCCGTGATTTTCAGGAAAACATGTCAATCTGGCATAAACATGGATTGTTATGACCAGCACTTTTTTTTAAGTTTAAATGAAAGATATATTTTTTTAAACCCCCTAAAAAATCTGTCCGACAAAAATGTTGATATTTTGAGTTTGTCCCCCATCCATATGTAGATTTGGTGACATTATAGTTGGTAACAACCAGCAAGCTGATTTACGCATGAACCTATTAGCTCGGGACCACCCTGTATAGAATTTTTTTGTAATTGTATAAAAAAATAAATTTAAATTATATATATTTATTTTGAAATTTAAGAAATTTAAACAAATTTTTTTTATTCATATATTTTTTTTATTAAATATAAATTTTTCTTCTACATCATGCGTAAGTATTGAAACCGCAAAATTTTATCGTTTAATTTTGTCGGACAAGCAAAAAAAACCGGTTATTTTTTTGGGCCATTTAATTTTTCGGTTTATTTTTGCTTTTTTTTAAATGACGCTTTTGTCCGACAGCTGGTTATCACCAACCATGTTGTCGTTAAGTTGACATCTTCGGGGCGTCCCACTGCAAAACTTCTCAAGAATTTTGTTGGACAATTAGATACTTTCATTTCAAATCTTTATTACCAAACCCTCCCAGAAAAATCAGCTTGCTGGTTGTCACCAACCATAATGTCACCAAATCGACATATTTAGGGTGGGGGACAAACTCAAATGACCAACCTTTTTGTCAGACAAATTTTTTAGGGGGTTTAAAAATATATATCTTTCATTTAAAGTTAAAAAAAAAGTGCTGGTCATAACATTCCATGTTTATGCCAGATTTACATGTTTTCCTGAAAATCAAGGGAAAACTTACCACTGTTGAATTTTCCTCATAGTCAAATCTTGGGAGACTCGTCAAACTTAAGCTGCACGCAAAGTTACAGCTTGCTGGTAATAATTTTTTTCTTTGTAAGTGGGCCCGTGGACCAGTAGTTATTGTGTAGCAATGACAATTAAGATAGGAATGACACTTGAGAATCCGACGAGGACACATATCCAACAACAATCTAACCTCATAGTGCACAATTTTCTATCTTCCTGTATAAAGGCAAATTGTAATTAGTTTATTCAATAATGATAATATTTTTATAGTGAGGCCATAATTTAAAGTATGTATAACATACTTTGTAGGTTATATCTCACTCATGTGTGTGTATACAAGTTGATTTGTAAATGAACCAACAAATAGTGATAGGTGCATGTAGTAAACCTTAAAGTACAGTATTTTAACCAAGTTGCTTTGTTTAGCCGTTAGATGACGTTAAAGTTAATTCGTTGTCTGATTTTAATAAAATTTGGTATGCTATAATAGTACTCTTTGATATAGTAACCGAAGCAAGTACATTTACAGAACTGAACAAAATACTCCCCAAGTAATTTTTTTGATAAGTGGTCTTACCACTTCAGTTTTTATTTTAACATAAAGTAGAGGTTTTCTCTCATTAAGTAGTATCACTAATTTTCAATATATTTTATTTTATATGTAATTAACTACAAGCGCTTAAAGCATAAATGCCCTAAATGTCGATTTTTGTATAGTCAAAACTGAGAATAACATTTTCTTCCTCATTAAGCTGAATGTTTTTTGTATAGCTATAAATAATATATTTCCCAAACTATCTTGCAGAAGGTTGCCTTCTATCAGAGAAACGTTGCTGATACTTTTTTTGAGCCGCCAAACTATTTCCATTACAGAAACCATAAATAAAATGCATATCGACATATTCACGGTTAATAAAAGCATGATGGTTCATGGTTGTAAAAAAATCAAATGAATTGCAAAGTCAAGTACAAAGATCACAACTAAGAAATGTATTAATCATTAGTATCATTACAACGAAACTGTCACCATGAAAGATGCCTACTATGTGAAAATGTTTAAAAAATGTTAGTTATGAGCCATATATTATTTAAAAAATAATTATTTCTGACTAAATACCCAGAATTCGAAAAAAAAATAGACATTTTTTCTTCATTCTTTAAAAAATAATATTATTTGCTTGATAATTCAGGCACAAAATTTCTGTTAAGGGTAGTTAGAAAAAAAAAACTATCCTTATTTATAACCAATTTTGATAAAACTTATAATAGTTAAAAACCCTTATGGTATGATTATTACTTACAATTTTCATTCCATTATCTTAAACAGAAAGAAAGTTATTTTAAAAAATATCCAAATGATAAACCCCTTTGTAGGGCCATATCGTAGTAACGGTGCTCCGGAGGACAAATGTTTATAGGAACTTTTTTTTAAAATTTTTAGCTCTACTTTCACCTCCTTAAATTTTGTACCAATTTTTCCAACCACCCTGTATATTGTGAGCATAGAGCTTAGGGTGATTTAAAAGATCTGCTACTTCTAATAAAACCTAACATATTAGTGCCTTTTGCTACATCATAATTTATGCGACAAATATAATTTAACTGTTGAAAATAATTCCGTTTTTAATTTCAGACACCTGTTTAAAGTTAATTTGATTAATTGTAAGATTATATTCAAAAGAATACTTATTAACACATTAGCTGCCACAATATATGGGTAGTTCGATCAATATTGCCATGAGTATTTTTTATGTTTAATAGTTTCAAAATATACATATAAAATGTTTCCTGTATATACAGGGTATATTTAAATGAAGGGGCACAAATGATACCATAGATTCCTTAGGTGGAAATAAGTTAATTTAACGTAACATCCTAAGTCGCATAATAAAAAAGATACAGGGTATCAAAGTGAAAAATAAACAATATTTTTTTCTTAATAATTACTTATTGAAAATGGCTAGTCAACCGTTGGGGACATATTTTTGATTTTATAAATTAGTATTTCAGATTTAATACCTCCAGGAATATTAACATCCAAAACAGACATTTTTGTTAATAAATAAAGAATTTATTACCTCATATCACAGTATGATAACAATGGTTATCATACCACAATTTCAGATATTGCTCATGATAATCTTTTATACCCCTACCACCAACAACCTGTGCAAGAATTGACTGCTGCCGATTTACCTAACAAGATAGATATTTGTCAGTGGTATATGCATATTTAAAAAAAAAATTAAATATTTTATCCAATATTTTGTTTGTTGATGAAGCATCATTTCAAAGACATGGTTTATTAAAACCATCACAATACTCATTTATGGGTCTGATCAAAACCCCCACCAAGTTTGAAAATCGATATTTGAGTATAAATTTTGTTTCAATGTTTGGGATTACTTGCTAAAGTTTATTAGTTATTATATCGATCATTCCCTAGGTTACAAATATATTAATAAGCTGATTACAAGGTGTAACTGAAATAAGTATTGAAAATTTCTGAGCTTGTAAAACAAGTCGAAAAATGATGAAAACTTTAGAAAATTTTTGTCAGTGGCGGCTCCTAAGGCAGCTACGCTCTCCTAAAGGGGTAACCTCGGAAACAGTTTTTAATGTGTAACATCCAAACGGCTCGACATTAAGTCACAAAATTTTGGTGAGATATTAACCTTGAAGTGACCTTGCTTCTTAATAAGTCTCATAAAATACATTTCAAAATTTGCTACAGGGGAGTGAGAAAATGCAGGACCCAGGGACAAATTTAATCATATCTATTTTGTAGTCAATTTTTTCTAGTTCCTGACTCGAAAATATTGAAATTTGAAGTATTAAACATAAAAAAGGTCCTCTTGTTAAATTTCACTAGGATGTGCCATTTACATAACAAAATAAATTAATTGCAGTGTGCCATGGGGAACACAACTAGTCTGACAGTTAACAGAAATGTAAAGTATTTTTAGTTTCAAATTTGTTTCATTTGAGTATTCGCAGTGCCGTTTTATAGTAAATAAAAATATCAAATAATTTAAAAATGCAACAGTATACATTTTCTGAGTATGTAGATATGCTTTCGACGTTAGGTGAATGTCATGGAAGCGCAAGAGCAGCCGCACAACGATACGGTGAAAAGTTCCCCAACAGAAATGTGCCCAATTACAAAACATTTCTTTGCACAGAAAGGCGTTTGCGAGAACGGGGTACGTTAAAAAAAAGGAACAATTTTGAGAGAGGCAGACGGGCCCATGTGCAGACAGTTTTGTCAGTTGGTTTTAGACAGGCAAGCCGAAGATCCGATGTTTCTATAGAATATTATTTTTACCGATGAAGCTACCTTTACCAGAAGCGGTGTTTTTAACCCTTCCGCTGCGCAATTACTTCCCAGGTCCATGATCGTGGTGCGGCACTTTTTGGCGCGCTGCGTATATATACGTCCAGAGCAGCTTACGGTAAAATTTACAAAACAAAAATATTTGTTACATACGTTTATAAAACAGAGACACTTAAGTTATTCACAATAAAATTAAAACTGTTTTTGAAAATAAAAATAATTTTATTTTTGAAGAACGTATATATTTAAAAAAATATAACAAAACAAACTAGAATTTTAATATGTTAAAACAAATAAAGGGAACAGAATTAAAACATTAGTTATAAAAAAATTAACGTTTAAGCCATCTAATAATATTTACATGTATGATACCTTTCAAAACAAATAGACAGGCAAAGAGGAACATCGCACAGACTACACATATATCTGGTGTCGCTTCTTTTATTATGTTTTGCACAAACAACGCATTTTCTCTGCGCTGTTTTTTTCTTGCCCGTTGCTGGTATTAAGGATATGAAGTGGCGCTCAGTTAGGCATAACGGATTATCCCCATCTGCAGATCT